TAGAGGTGATGGCTGTTATGGATAAAAATAAAATAAAATAAAAACTGACAATGTTCCAGCATATGTCCCCAGTAAATTGGAACAATTTTTCAAATATTATAATATAAAACATATAACTGATATACCTTACAATCCCACAGGACAAGCAGTGGTTGAAAGATCTAACCAAACCTTAAAAGAAATGCTTCATAAACAGCCAGGGGGAACAAAGACCCCCAAATACAGGTTATATAATGCTTTACTAACATTGAATTTTCTTAATGCTAATGAAAAAGGACAAAGTGCAGCAGAAATACACTGGACTACAGAGAAGACTTCTGAACTGAACCAACCAGTGTATTTTAAGGATGTTCTGACCTCAGTCTGGAAACCAGGATATGTGATTTTGCTTCTGTTTCCACAGAGAAAGAAAAACGTTGGGTTCCATCGAAATTAATTAAGATTCAATCAGAACAGAAGACATCTCAGGAGGAGGAAAGATAACAGCTCATCTACAAAATCATATTCTACCATGGGTAAAGTGACCTCATAAAAGGAAAGAGAAGTGTTCTGTTTTTTGTCTTCACAGGTAAACTCAGCAAAGAATATTGGACGTATGGATTCCTGAAGAAGAATGGAGAGCTACCCTGAGGACCATCAAACAAACAATAACTCACTGTGTGGTATCAATGTCTAAATCTCTCTATATTGTTTTTTATAATACCCATTTTTTTCTGTTTCTTAATATGCTTTAGTCCCCATTCATTTAACTGAACCTGGCTTTGGAGTTGGATTGGCTCTCCCACTCTAAATTCAAGCATATTATTTAAATAAAATTCAGAATTTCTGTATTATATCAAAGAGTCATTGATATAAGACAGAAGAAAATAAAATTAGAGACTGTTATCTGTGGATTTCTTTTTCTGAAAAGTCTAATCTCCTTCATATTTACCATCTTCCCTATTGTCACCTTTTCCAGCATGCATACATATAAAAGTTTTACAAAAAACAAAATTTCTTTGTTAACATTAAGGTTTGAGTTTTCCAGAGAACAAGGGATTTTCTGACAGCAATCTTCAACTGCTTCGGAAAGAGAATGAGGATCCACTTCCTCAACTCCACCTGATTTGACTGGATGCATCTGAACTGCCCCATATCATCAACTCCACCTGACAAGCACCATCCTGAAACCAGCTTGGAACAACATCACTCGACACAACTCCAGACCAAGGAACTGATGCAGCGCACCTTCTACAATCTGGCCAGAGCTTCAGACGAGAGCTTCAATCAACACTAGAACTCCAGTCAGGAACTTCAATCAAGCATCTCCTGGCAAACAGAGACTGTCTAATCTACTTAAGATTTTGTTATACTAACATTTTTCTTCTCACAGGTCCCCATGAGATTGTCATCATCCCATCTCAGCAGGAAGTAGTTTTGAGAATTCCACGCCGCCTCTCCCTACTATTGATATTATAGGATAGTTTACATCTGTTAGTGTTAGTTTTCAATTATGCTTTTTTTTTGCTTACACTGAGTCAGGAAGACTCCCTTAAGTGAGCCGCGTGGGTCTCTGCTTGTCTCTAGCAAAACAGAGCCCACCTGAGAAAAATGCTGCTACCAAGAAGCTGTGCTTCCTTCCGTTCTTTTGTTTCTAAAATTCCTTTTAAGCTCTTGTCATTCTACGTGGAAATTCAATCCCACTCCTGACAACTATTTCTTGAGTAAAGCCTTCCTGCCAGCCTGGTTCCAGAGCCGCATAAGTCCCAAATGAACACACAGGAGGCTTTATTAATTATGAAGCTGTTGGCAGTTTGCTTGGTTTCTTACTGGGTATCTCTGTCTTAAATGTTTACCTCATAATTGTTAATCTAAGTATTTCTCTTACCAGAGAAGGGATCCAGACTTCTTACCCCTATGGCAGCTACATCGTAGCTCCCTGTGTTTCTCCTTCCCAGAGTCCTCCTTGATTCCTAGTCTCACCTATCTTGCTTCCCTATTGGCCAATAGTGCTTTATTCAACAACCAATAAGAGACATATTTCGAATGACATCTCCCATCAAATGAGAATGATGGCACTATGTTAAGGGAAGCCTTCATTGAGAGAAGCCTTCCCACCAGCCAGGTTCCAGAGCCACATCAGTCCCAAATAAACACACAGGAGGCTATATTAATTATGAAGCTGTTGGCCTTGCTTGTTTCTTACTGGCTAGCTCTGACTTAAGTATTTATCCCATAATTGTTAATCTAAGTATTTCTCTTACCGGAGAAATTTCCGGGCTTCCTACCCCATGGCGGTTATATCTCGACTTCCTGTGTTTCTCCTACCCAGAGTCCTCCTGGACTCCTAGTCCCACCTATCTTACTTCCCTATTGTCCAACAGTGCTTTATTGACATATACACAGGACTTTGGACTTCCCCAACAACATTACATACCCGGACTTATGGGACAATTTGAAAGCAGTGCTACGAGGGAAGTTCATAGCACTAGGTGCCCACATAAAGAAACTGGAGGATAGTTACACTACAGAATTAACAGCACAACTGAAAGCTCTAGAACACAAAGAAGCAAATTCACACAGGAGGAGTAGACACCATGAAATAATCCAATTGAGGGCTGAAATCAATAAAGCAGAGACTAGGAAAACAATACAAAAAAATCAATGTAACGAAGAGTTAGTTCTTTGAGAAAATCAACAAGATGGACACACCTTTATTCAAACTTACCAAACAACAGAGTGTGAACATGCAAATTAACAAAATCAGAAACAAAAAGGGGGACATAACAATGAACACTGAGGAAATCCAGAGAATCTTTAGGTTATACTTTGAAAACCTGTACTCCACACAATTTGAACATCTAAAGGAAATGGACTATTTTCTCGATAGATACCATTTACCAAAATTAAATCAAGAAATCAGGAAAATGGGAATCAATCTCCCACAAGACCCAGAAATTCCACTCTTAGGCATATATCCAAAAGACGCACATTCATACAACAAGGGCATCTGCTCCACTATGTTCATAGCAGCATTATTTGTAATATCCAGAACCTGGAAGCAATCTAGATGCCCCTCAACTGAAGAGTGGGTAGAGAAAATGTGGTACATTTACACAATGGAGTACTATTCAGCAGAAAAAAACATATAATCAGAGATTCAAATTTTAATATATCCATTGATGAGATGCCAAACACCAGATAACAATATCATTTCCCTAGATTTTAGCAGATATGCTTGAGTGCGGCAAGTTATCATTCACCTGGTGGATGCCATAAACTCCCATATATGCACTGGGTGTATCATGGGGTGCAAAGTCAAAGCCAGTACAGACCAAAGTCTTCATTATTTTTTATTTAAGCCAATAAACCCAAAGTTTCAACATCATAGCATTAAACCAGATGAGGATTTATGGACTGGGAATATCCCTTAGTGAAAAAGGGCCTGCCTAGCATGTAGAAGGCGTTGTATTCAATATTCAGTGTAGCAAATAAATGCTTTCACAAAAAATCTTTGAAATTCATTGTTTATTCTGTACCTAAAACCTTTCTGTCTTTATGGCAGCTATATTTCAAAAGAACAATAATAACATGTCTCCACTAGAAAGCTGGTTTTGAGTGTTTTTATCTTAAAACTTGCAGACTGTACTAGGGAGATAGTTCAGTTGACCATAAAATAGTGAGAACCTGAGTTAAGTTCCCCAGTGCTGACAGAAAACTCCACACACTTGTAGTTCCAGTGCTTCCTTTGGGAGGCGGAGACTGGTTACCTAAATCATAAATTTCTGGTTTCACTAAAAAACCCTGTTTGGAACAAAATAAGATGGACAGCAGTTAAGGAAGACATCTGATTTCAACCTCTGACCTCCACATGATGTCCACACACAAACACGGGGACACACATGCAAACGCGCGCGCGCACACACACACACACACACACACACACACACACGCACACACACAAACTAGTAATCTCTATTTCAAAGCATTATTAGACCTGGATAAAATTGAAAACAAAGGACAGATAGGACCCATGTACTCCATACTTTATCCTAGCCATATGATTTCCCATATTATTAATGATTTACATGGAGTAGAACGTGGCACAATTTATTAACCAACTAGGTACATCATTATTTAGTAAAGATATGATAGCAATGATACACCACAAACAGCATCACACTGAACAATTTCACTTCCTTCATGTGTTTCTGTGCTCCATGGCAATGAAGATATGTCCATGTATTTTGTTCTCAATATGTTAGTGGTAGAATAGTTTACTAATATTTTCAGTTTATTTTCTTCTGTTTAAGAGGGAGCAAGGGACAGATACACCACATACTCTAAGAAAACCACAAAAATATGCAAAATAAATGCTGTGGGCATACAGATGGATTATAGCAACACTTTTTGAGACAGAATCTCTAGTACGTGTAGACCTCAACCAACCTATGTACATAAAGATGGTCTTGACCTCCTGATTCTCCTGTCTTTTGGTCTGCCAGTGCTGGGATTACAGATGTTTTTAACAATGTCCAGTTGATGTGGTGCTGAAGAGTAAACACAATGCTTTTAACATGATAAAATAAAACAAAGCTATACCCCAATCCCTCATGACAATATTTTCATCTATAACTGAAGGTAAAAGTTTCTGGACGCCAGCTTGGTCAAGTCTTTCCAGGAGGACTTCATCTCAGGAGGAAGCCCTGTTGTCAGTGGGCCTGAATGATATGATGGCACCTGGGGCTGGAGAAGATGAGACTCTAACGTGTTTTCCATTTTGTGCTTTTTTAAATATGAAGAAGGACCGCAGATGTGACGCTCCAGGGAAGAATAATTTTGAGAAACCTCTGGGGGATATTAGAAACTGAGTTGAAGGAGCTATGGGAATGGAGGTGGCCATCAGAGTCAACAACAAAATTGGAATTTACATGAATGGATACAAATACATGGGATATGTATACACCTGCTGGCTCTGAAAATGTGAACTCTACCCAGAGTTAGACTTTGTAGATACTTCCATGATGCTCATCCTGCTCCTTATGTTCCTCGTCCTGCAGTATTCCACCAATGTCTACTCCTTTGACCGTTCTTACTGTGCTTCAATGGCAAAACCCAGTGTGTACAAAGATGGGGAAATGGTGGTTGCTGCATTTTTTCCACTTTCTACTATTGTTTTAGATTTCATGACTGAGGATCCAAGAAATATGACCTACTATGTTCAGTAAGTTCACTTTTTTATTTCTTCATTGTCTTCATTATTTTTGAATAGATAATGCCTAGAAATACTATGTGTGCATACATTGGTGCTGTCCTTCATAGCTCAATTTCTACTCCATATCCCAAGGATTGTCTGTGATTTATTTTTACTGTTTCTATTAACTAGGTTCTTTGCCTCAAAAGAACAAAAGAATTCTAGTTTCCTTAATTCTGGCTTCTCCTTTCTGAGACTCAATTCTCTCCTTATTACTTCACCATTCCTGGCTCTCTTCCAACCTGTGTTGTCACTGAATAGTATCCAACAGTATTTCCTAGAATCACAATAGCAGCCTTTGGCATGGATTCTGTACAATGAGTATACGAAAAATTCTCTTCTTGAATAGTAAAGGACCTTTTTTTAAGTTATTTCTATTAGATTCTTTGAGTTATTTGTATTAAATTAAGCATCTGTTAAATGTATAGTTGGTAAAGATTTTCTTACTCCATGGGCTTTTTCTTTACCTTGTTGATTACTGTGAAGAAGACTTTTAGTTTCATGAAGGCCCAAATTATCAACTGTTGGCCTTAATTCTTAAACAAACTTAGTCCTTCCCCACAACTATATTATAGAGGATACTGCCTATGTTCTCTTCTATTAGTTTTGGTGTTTCATTTAGGTCTTTGATCCACTTGAATTATTTTTTGTGAAAGTTGATAGATAGAGGTTTAATTTCATTCTTCTGCATGTGGACACCCAGTCTTCCCAGAACCACTAGTTAAAGATGCTTTCTTTTCTTTGGAATAGGTATTTTGGCATCTTACTCAAATATTAAGTTGCTGAGGTTACATGTATTCAAGTTTGGGATTTGATTTTGTTCTATTAGTCTACATGTCTGCTTTGTGTTGGTGCCATATTATTTTATTACTATGGCTCTCTAATATGTATTAAAATCTAGAATTGTAATCCCGCCAGCATTGTTCTTTTTTCTCAGTATTGCTTTGTACTTCATTTAAATTTTATGACAGAATTTTTGTTTCTGAGAAAAAGTGAGATGGGATTTTGACTAGGATTGCATTGAATCTGTATAGGGCTTTTGGTAGGATGGTCATTTTCATTATACTACTTCTGAGAAAAAGTGAGATGGGATTTTGACTAGGATTGCATTGAATCTAAATAGGGCTTTTGGTAGGATGGTCATTTTCATTATACTACTTCTGTCTGTCCATGAGCATGGGTGTCTTTGCATTTACTGGCATCTTTCCTTCTTTGAAACTTTAAAGTTTTCATTAAAGAAATACTTCATTTCCTTGGTTATATTTATTCCTAGATAGTTTATTTTCCTTGAGGCTATTGTGAATGGGCATGTATTTATGATATCCTTCTTTGTATGTTTGTCGTTGGTGTGTCAAAAAGCTATTGATTATACAAGTTGATTCTGCATCCTCCCACATTACTGAATTTGACAATCATTTCTGATTATGGCTTTGCCTCCCCACCTCCTCCCATGTCCTCCCCACTTTCCCACCCACCCAAACCACACTCTTGCTTTTTCTCTTTCATTAGAAAACAAACAGGCATTTAAAATAATAGTATAAGATTTAAAAACAGGACAAGACAAACAGAAAAAAGAGCCAAAGTCAAAGAACAAGAAACACAGACATAGAGACACACACATTCACCCACTAAGAAATCCCATAAAAGCAAAATTAGAAACCATTATATATGTGGATGTCTATGTATACATATATGTGTATGCGTGCATGCGTGTGTGTGTATGTGTGTGTGCGTGCATGCGTGTGTGTGTGTGTGTGTAGACATGTATATTATGAATCTGTGTAGATAGATATACAGACAGATAGATATGGAAAAGGGGGTCTTTAAGGGAGGAAATGCCTAAAAAAGCATTACAAAACAAAAAGATCTCCAAAAATATCACTGGATTCATTTTTCTTGGCCACCTATTTCTGGTCATGAGACCTGCCCTTAAGTATGGTTTGTATACCCAATTAGACTTCTTTGGGACAAACACTGATTTTTTTTTCCTTTGAAAGTTGTTGTCAACTGGAGATAACTTTTAGATTAGGGAATGGAGCTTGTAGTGTCTACTTCACCTTTCCGTGCTGAGACCTTGTCTGGCTTAGACATGTGCAGGTCCCATGCATGCTGCCTGGCTCTGTGAATTCAAATGTGTGTCTATCCTGGTGTGCCTAGAAGTCCTTGTTCTCTGGTGTCCTCCATCCCTTATAGCTTTTGCAATCATTCTACCTCATCTTCCATAGGGTTCCCGGAGCCCTGTGGAGAGGGATTTGATGGAGACGTCCCATTTATGAGTGTGTGTTCAAAGGTCTCTCATTCTCTGCACATTTTCCAATTGTAGATATCTGCATCTACTCCCATCTCCCATGGAAGAAAGCTTTTGTGATGATGGCTGATCAAGACACTGATCTAAGATTACAGTATGTCATCAGGAGTCATTTTATTACTATGTTCTTTTAGTAGAGCAGTAGTGTTTAGTTTTCACTTAGGATCCTGGGCTATCTAATCTTGGGTTCTTGGACACCCAAGCAACATTAGATATTACTTAATTACTCTCACAAATTTTGGGGCACTGTTGTATTAGTGTATCTTACAGGCAGGTCACCATGGTAGATCGCAGAGTTTGTAGGTAGGTTGGTGTTTAACTTTCTCCTCTACAAGTGGGCAATAATACCAGTCAGTAGGGGTAAAGGCTCTAAGTAGGCACCAGTTCAAATTCTCCTAGGTTGAGTCTAGAGATTGGAAATGACTTGGGTGAAATGAAATAATATTAAAAAGGGGACAGGGATGGTATACAGGATACAGATTCTTTTTGTGGGGGCAGATCTGGATAGTTGGAAAGTCTGGATATGGTGTGGTATACTCCTGTGGGTTCATACACAGCTGTGAAGAATCCTAGCCCAAGTCTCTTTTATGATGCAGGCAGGAAAGGCCAGACTGTGCTGGTGCACTGATTGTGAGACCCAGTCTAGATCTGGTGGGTTGTGGGGAAGGAATGGAGGGCCAGGTGTATTTACCAGGCTAGACCCTGAAGTAAGACATGGAAAGTCTGGGTACATAGTGAGGTGATATAGGCAGTGCAGAAAGGACCTGTGGGTGGTTGCAGGTAGAGCAAGTACTGGAAGAAGCCCAGAACTTTTCTGTATTTGAACTGGGCTTCTGCTTAGGGGTGGGGGCATGTGTCCACTTCTCCATTCAGCTCTTAAGATCCCATCAGGACACAGGCCCTGTGCATTCTGCTCTAGTCTCTGTGAGTTCATATGTGCCCCAGCCCTGTTGTCTTTCCGTATCTGAGTTTCCTCACTTAGGATAGTTTTTTTCTAGTACTATTTATTTATGTGAAAATTTAATGAATTCGTGTCTACTTTCATGTCATCTGTACATATATGGTTTTATGTATGTATATAAAATCTAGGACTTACAAATGAAGCAAATATGTGATACTTGTCTTTTTAAGGCTGACTTAATTCACTTAAAAGGATTTTGTCCAGTTAAACCCATTTTCCTGCAAGTGACATACATGCATTCTTTACAGCTGAATAGAATTCTGTTGTACATATGTAGCACTTTTTGTTTACTCATAGCTCTATTAGTGGACACTGTGATTAGTTTCATAACTTAGCTTCTGTGAATAGTGCTGAATATGGCTAATAAGAGAGATGTGCTTCTCCTGGAGGTCGTATTTCAGGAGACTCCTCTCTCATAGCTCAGCGTTTGGATGCGGCTTCCACATTCTCTCTTGCTGCCAAGGAGCTAAATTCCTGAGGTTGTGTTGGTTTCTCTCTCAGTGCCCTGTTTTGCTGTTTACTGCCATTCTTTCACTTCTTTGTGGACCTCTGAAGCTTTTTGATGGGGGATGTCCTTCTGTATATATGTTTCTCTTACTGGTTGATGAATGAAACACTGTTTGGCCAATAGAGGCAGGAAGATAGGGAAATCCAAGAGGCAAGGAGAATTCTAGCAAAGGAAGGTAGAGGGAGACTGAGACAAGACACTATGAAGCTGCCAAAAGGAATAACAGGTCCAGTAAGCAAAGACCACGTGGAAATATACAGATTAATAGAAATGGGTTAATAACTTAGAGAGCGCTAGTCAATAAGAAGCCCTAGCCATCAGCCAACAGTTTCATAATTAATATAGCATCTGTGTGCTTATTTGGGACTAAGAAGGGCAGTGGGACCTTGTGAGACAAGAAAAATTCCAGCAACAGCTCTTCCTCTATTCTCCTCAGAAATAAAAGCTCTGGGTGCATTTTTAAACGTCTTTGCTTTATTGAGATGAATATGTGAGCTTTTAAATTGTAATTTTGAATTTCTTTTTTATGTTAAAATGATGTTTTCTTTAGAATTTGTTTTATTCATTTTACATACCAACCAAATTTCCCACTGCCTCCTCTCCTCCTGCTCACCACCTACTTCCCCCAACCCACCTCCCATCCACTCCTTAGAAAGGGTAAAGCCTCCCATGGGAAGTCAAAAAAGCCAGGCACATTGAGGCAGGATCAAGTCCCTCCCCACTGTATCAATGTTGAGCAAGACATCCCACCATAGGGAATGGGCTCCAAAATGGCAAGTCATACACAAGGGATAGATTCTGGTCCCATTACCAGGAGCACCACAAACAGACAAAGCTACAAAACTGTTGCCCATATGCAGAATGCCTAGTTTGGTCCCATGAACGATCCCCAGATGTCAATCTAGAGTCCCTGAGCTCCCACAGACTTGTGTCAGATGTCTCTGTGGGTTTCTCCAATGTGATCTTGACCACCCGCTCCCTTGCTCATATAATTCCTCCTCCCTCTCTTTGACTGGACTCCAGAGTTCATCCTGGTGCTTGGCTGTGGATCTCTGCATCTGCTTCCATCAGATGAAGATTCCATATGATGACAATTAGAGTCACCAAATCTGATTACAATGGAAGGTCAGTTAGGCACCCAATTCTCTCTCTCTCTCTCTCTCTCTCTCTCTCTCTCTCTCTCTCTCTCTCTCTCTCTCTCTCTCTCTCTCTCTCCAACTTCTCTTTATGTAGCTCTGACTGCACTGGAACTTGTATATATCAGGCTGGCCTTGAATTCACAAAGATCTTCTGCCTCTGCTTCCTAGATGCTGAGATTAAAGGCATGCACCACGATGCCTAATTCTCAAATTTTAGTTGTTTTGGAAAGTGATATTTATAATGCATTAAAAGCAATCCTCAGTTCTAATTTAAATATTCATATCTCTCTACAAACTTTCTGCTGTTACCTCCGTCCTTCATACCTCCAAAATTCAGAGATGAATAGGCTTTTCAGTTTTTCCAAATTTTGCTTTAACTTGAACTACTGCTGTAAGGCTTAAAAGTGTATTATATAGGTTATCAACTTAAAGTCTATTACCTTGTGCTGTTTTTTCTTTTAAAAACAAGTGTAGTATATGTTTTTCCTCTTGTTAAAATTTCTTTTCCATTACCGTGATAAAATACCATAACAAAAGCAAGTTAAGGGAAAGTGGTTTACTTTGATTTACACTTCCAGAGAGATTCTATTCATCATGCCAGGTAAGACATGATAGCAGGGAGAGAAATCACAATGGCATGAGCAGAAATTTGGCTGGTCACATTGTATTTTCCCTTGGGAAACAAGAGATTGGAGAGGAACTGAAGTCAAGATGTTAATCCCAAATACCTCTCCCCAGTGTCCCACTTCCTCCAGTGAGGGTCAGCCTTTTGAAAGATCCACAGCCTATGCTAATGTCATCAACTGAGGACAGAGTCCAGATAAGAGTATGTGGGAGACACCTGGCATTCAAAGCATGGCACCCCTAAATACGTGTGTGTCTTTTGTTCAGGTTAAATGCAAAGAACTACCAGATTGTTCTTGCGATGGTTTTTGCCATTGAGGAGATCAACCAGAACCCCCACATTTTACCCAATGTGTCTCTGGGATATGACATCTATAATGTCCTGTTCAATGAATGGTGGACATTGGATAGATGCATCACATGGCTATCAGGCCCAAAGAAGTATGTAACTAATTACACCTGTAGGAGAGAAATGAAGTCTGTTGCAGTACTCACAGGAGTATCATCGATAATATCTTCCAATATAGCGACACTGCTGGGACTCTACAAATATCCACAGGTGAGAATGAGTGGAGTGAAGAGACATAAAAACACTCGTAAGTTCAGTGCCATTCCAGGAGGCAAAAGATGGTGAAAAAAATTGTGCTTATGCATCTTACAAAGTTTACAATCCCAAAGAGTAATTATTCAGTGACTTGGTAACATATCCACAGTTTCTTTGTCTAGGACAGAGAAAAGAGAAAGGCAGGAACAGACAGTGATTACCTGGAACTCTGCATGATCAGGAATTTTCTAGAAAACTCTCAGTAAGTAGAATATCAGAATTTTAGTGGTATTATGGTCTAGAGAGGTAGCTTTAGGAATAAAGTATTTGATTCACAAGCATGAGTTTGGATCTCTATCACTCAAATAAAATCTGACCATGGCAGTATACACCTTTAACTTCAGTTCTGGTAAAGCAGAGAGTCCCTCAAAGGCAAACAGTGAGCTGAAGGTTCACTTAGAGATCTATGCTCAAAAGAAAAAGAAAAAATAATAAGTGAAGAATGACAGAGTAAGGATTCCAGTATTAACCTTTGACCACATGTGCACACATATACAGATGTGATGATCAAATACTCTTCACCACTCTATCTGCTTCTAAAGGTCTGTCATGATTGGGTGTGCGCGCTATGCTCCCTCCTCTTAATTCTGCTTCTCTCTTTTTTCCTTTTAGCTGGCCATTGGGTCTTTTGATCTTAACCTGAACAATCATGACCAGTTTCCTGATCTCTATCAGATGGCCTCCAAGGATTTGTCTCTGGCCCATGGCATTGTCTCCTTGTTGAATTATTTCCACTGGAATTGGGTGGGGCTGATTGTGTCTGAAGGACAAAAAGGTGTTGAGATCATCTCAGACTTGGGGGCAGAAATGGATAGAAACAAAATATGTGTAGATTTTGTGGAAATGCTCCCAGTCACCGAAGTATCCTTTTTAGCAAGCAGACAATTGAATCCTACTCGGCTTCTGAAGTCATCAGCAAATGTGATCATTGCCTATGGTGACAGTGACTTTCTGAGAGGTTTCCTGTTTTATTTAAAACATACTTTAGTAACCATGAAAGTCTGGATCATGAACTCAGAATGGGATATTTTCCTCCATTCAAAACATTTCATTTTGCAGTCATTCCATGGGAGCCTCATTTTTGCACATCACCACAAAGAAATCTCTGGTTTCGGGAATTTTATGCAATCAGTTCACCCTTCCAAATACCCAGAAGATTTTTACCTTAGGAAGTTCTGGTTCTACTTTTTTAACTGCTCATTTGCTGACGATGATTGTAATACACTGGAGAACTGTGCGCCTAATGTTTCCTTGAATGAATCGCCTAAGAACTCTTTTGATACGGTCATGACTGAGTACGCTTACAACACATACAATGCTGTGTATGCTGTGGCCCACAGCCTTCATGAGATTCTTCTTCATCAAGCAGAAGTAAAACCAACAAGAAAGGCAGAAGACCTGATGTTTCCAGCCTGGAAGGTAATGTGTCTCCCACAGGATTGCTCACAACTTCAGCGATGCGATTTTTCTAAATTTATTCTTTAGGAGGCCACATTACTTGTCATAGGATCTCTAAGAGCACAAAATAAACTACTTGTAACACTGAAAAGCGGGTAAGTCAAGATGTATACAGACATGGTTGAAAGAACAGTATCTGTGGAAAGAAGGAAACGTGTTCTAAATCCACATCAGTGCTTGTGTTGCCAGATCAATGATTTCTATAGGAAAAAATGCATAACATATCTAGTCTTATGAGTCCCATGTGGAGTCCCAGTGGAGGCTGGGAGGCCAGAGCTGACTGTAGAGGATACAGTGCCTAGGCACATGGAATCACACAATGTAGACAAAGGAATCTGCAGAGAAAAGCTGGAGGGAAGAACCAACTGAGAATATTACACTTAAGTATGTAGAGTCCCACCCTTAGACAAGAGGCTTCAGAAGAAAGGGAAGGGACTAAGCTGACAGGAGATGGAATATTTCACGGGAATACCACAACATGCAGCAAAGCCTGTGGAGTCAGACTGGACAGCAGAGATGAATAAGAATAGGTTTCCCAGGTATATGTAATTCCACAGCATTTAATAAAGACTACAGAAGAAGGTAGGGGTGGAGCTGGCCCAGGGTAAGGTTGTCAGACACAGACAGCTAATCTAATTTCAACAGAAGCAGTAAGTTAATAAAAGGGAATAGAAGGATACAAATATGAAAGGGGGAAGTCAAAACATCCTTCCTTGTAGTTAATAATATTGTATACACAAGAGACCCTAAAGACTCCATTAAAAACTCCTAGACCTGAAACACTTTTAGCAAATTGTCAAAACATAAAATAAACACAAAAATGATCACACTTCCTATATATCAATGTTTAATGTACAACCAAAAAATGACGAAATAATCCCATTGACAATAGCCACAAAGAAATTAAATATCTGATAATAAACCTGACCAAAAAAATGAAACTTCTCTACCATGAAAACTTTAATACACTAAAGAAATTAATTGAGGAAGGCTCCAGAAAGTGCAAGGACCTCCCATGATAATAGATCAGATCAATTGATCTTGTATAAGTGTTCATCCCATACAAATCAATTAACATATTAAATGTAATTTCAATCAAAATTACAACACCATCATGAAATGTCAACATGCATAATGGAACACCAGTTGATAGTCAACCTGGACAGTGGAAATTCACAAAGTCCCACAACGAGGTGAAGACCTTTAGGCAATCAATGCCTACTGAGAGAGGGAGAATAAGTTTTCCTCAGAGACGTGTACCCTGATAGGTTGTCCTATCCCAAGTGATCAGCACTTGTACATACAAAGAACACTAAATGGACTCAGTATGGTGTGTGTGTGTGTGTGTGTGTGTGTGTAAAAAGTTCATAAGATTAAGAGGGAGGTGGGGGTCATGGGAGGAGTTGAGATAAAAGGGGGAATATAAATTATGTAAATGTAGTTTAGTTTAGTTCAGTTTAATTTAGTTTAGTCAGATATGAAATTCTCTAGAAAATAATTTTAAACAGCATATTCTTCACAGGCATATAAAAATTCCTAAAATTAATATGAAAGCACAAAAAAGGATAGTCAAAACAATCCTAAACAAAATGAATACTACTGGAGGTTCATCACACTTACACTATACTTAGATACTACAGAATTGTGAGTCATTTTATACTCCAGAGCTATTGGTGAGCATTAAATAAATAACATGGTGCTAGCATAAAAACACACCTGTGATCAATGGAACAGAATAGAATGGGATGGAAGAGAATAGAATGGGATAGAATACAACAGAAAGCAAGAGCCTAGATACAAATCCACACAATTACAGCTAACTCATTTTTAAATAAGCTTACCAAATATACACAATGAAGAAAAGGCGGTATTTTCAACAAATGGTGCCGTGTGAAAATCGGATTTCAATATGTAGGGAATGAAACTATATCCTTATCTCTTACCCTGAACAAAAATAAACTTAAACTGATCAAGGAACTCAGCATAAATCATGACACCCTGTAACTGCTAGAGGGAAAGGATCAAGAATATACCTCAACTTATGGACACATGTAAGAGTTTTCCAAAATGACTCTGTCATCATAGGAAATAAGACAACAAAACAAATGGGATCTCATAAAATTAAATTTTTCTGTACAACAAAACAAACTGTCAAGTAAAGAGGCAGCCCACAGAAAGGAAAATATTTTCCAGCTGTATATCCAATTAAGAATTGGTATGAAAATACACAAAGAACTCTGAAAATCCATACATGAAGAAAAAATAATGCAGTTTAAAAATTGACTATGGAACTGAACAGAAAGTTCTCAAAATAAGAAATAAATGTGATGAGTGAACACTTTCACCATCCTTCACCACCAAGGAAATGAAGGTTAAAACTACATTAAGAGTCCACCTAACCCCAGTTAGAATGGTCATCATCAAAAAATAAAAAACCAAATGACAACAAATGCTATTATAGAAGTGGAGAAGAGGGACCCTTATACGCTGTGGACAGTAGCGGAAACTAGTGCAGCCACTCTGGATATCAATCTGGAGGCTTCTCAAAAAGCTAAAATGGAGCTACCATATTACCCTGCTATACCATCCCTGGTAATACAACAAAGGACTCCATATCTGACTGCAGGGGGCAGAGAACAGAAGAGATGGTTAACCACAATGAAGAGTATATAATAAAGTCACGTGCAGAGCTACCGTATGGAACCCAACTTAAAATAACAGTCTCTTAAAGTTAGAGAGCAGACACACTGCCTAGCTGGAGAATTTGGATGCTTATAGAAGCACCTAAGCATGATGTAACTATCCCATGGACAGTTGCAAATGCATTATATATTTAACAAGATCATAATTACTCCTGACATGATATCACTATGCCCCATACAATCACAAATACATTATAAATTTAGAACAGGTAGCGATGTTCCTTTAGTGTCTCAAAAATTAATATGATAATCATTGATACTCTTTTTTCATTTCTTATTTTTTAATTTTTATTTTTAAATTTAAATTTAAATTAGAAACAAGGTTACTTCACATATCAATCCCAGGTCCCTCTCCCTTTCCTTCCCCTCCTCCCATGCCCTCCCACAACCCCCCCCCAATATCTCCTAATTTCCCCAGGGAGGGTGAGGCCCTCCATGGGGGTGTCCATAGGCCTAGACCCTCCCCCAAGGGTCCAGGGTGAGAGTGCATCTCTCATTATTGGATAGGCACCCAAAGTCCATTTGTATGCCCAGGATAAATACTAATCTACTACCCAAGGCCCAATAGATTGCCTAGGCCTCCTCACTGACACCCACATTCAGAGGGTCTGGATCAATCCCATGCCGGAGTCCCAGCTATCAGTCTGGGATATAAGAGCTAACCCTTGTCAGGTCAGCTGTTTCTGAGGGTTAAACAAGCCCAGGCTTAACCCCTTTGCACTTCAGTCCTCCCTCTGTATCACTGGATTCCTTGAGGTCAGCTCATTGTTTAGCTGTGAGAGTCTGCCTCTGCTTCCATCAGCCATTGAATAAAGGTTCTATTTCCCAGACTCTGGCCATGGGATTGTAGGCTGGCACTCCCTTGATCTATATCTAAAATCCATATATGAGAGAGTACATATCATGTTTGTCTTTTTGTGACTGCTTTACCTCACTCAGGATGGTTTCTTCTAGTGCCATCCATTTACCTGCAATTTTCAGGATTCCATTGTTTTTTTTCTGCTGAATAGTACGCCATTGTGTAAATGTACCACATTTTCTCTATCCACACTTCAGTTGAGGGGCATCTAGGTTGCTTCCAAGTTCTGGCTATTACAAATAGTGCTGCTATGAACATAGTGGAACAGATGTCCTTGTTGTATGAATGTGCATCTTTTGGATATATGCCTAAGAGTAGAATTGCTGAGTCTTGTGGTAGACTGATTCCCATTTTTCTGAGGAATCTCCCCACTGATTTCCAAAGTGGCTGTACAAGTTAGCACTCCCACCAGCAGTGGAGGGGTGTTCCCCTTTCTCCACAACTTCTCCAGCATAAACTGTCTTCAGTGTTTTTGATTTTAGACATTCTGACAGGAGGGAGATGGTATATCAGAGTTGTTTTGATTTGCATTTCCCTGAGGGCTAAGTATGTTGAGTACTTTCTCAAGTGTCTCTCAGCCATTTTAGTCTCCTCTATTGAGAATTCTCTATTTAGTTCTGTACCCCACTTTTTGATTGGATCCTTTGGTGTTTTGGAGACTTGCTTCTTGAGTTCTTTGTAAATTTTGGAGATCAGCCCTCTGTCAGATGTGGGGTTAGTGAATATCTTTTCCCAATCTGTGGGCTGCCTTTTTGTCTTATTGACTGTGTCCTTTGCCTTACAGAAGCTTCTCAGTTTCAGGAGGTCCCATGTATTAATTGTTGACCTCACTGTCTGTGCCACTGGTGTTATGTTCAGGAAGCAGTCTCCTGTACCAATTCGTTCAAGGGTACACCCACTATCTCTTCTAACAGGTTCAGTGTATCTGGATTTATGTTGAGGTCTTTGATCCATTTGGACTTAAGTTTTGTGCGTAGGGATAGACACGGATCTATCCACATTCTTCTACATGCCAGCATCCAGTTATGCCAGCACCATTTATTGAAGATGCCTTCTTTTTTCCATTGAATAATTTTAGCTTCTTTGTCGAAGATCATATGTTCATACATGTATGGGTTAATATCAGGGTATTCAATTCAATTCCTTGGTCTACCTGTCTATTTTTGTGCCAATACCAAGCTGTTTTCAGGACTACAGCTCTAAAATAGAGCTTGAAGTCAGGGATAGTGATGCTTCCAGATATTGCTTTGTTGAATAAGGTTGTTTTGGCTATCCTGGGGCTTTTGTTTTTCCATACAAAATTGATTATTGTTCTTTCAAGGTCTGTAAAGAATTGTGCTGGTATTTTAATGGAGATTGCATTGAATCTGTAGATTGCTTTTGGCATGATTGCCATTTTT